TTTACTATATATGTGGGTTTTCTGCGATGGATTGCACGTCTTCTTGACACTCGGAATCTTTTTGTATAATCGCGTTGCCCTCGTGAGCGAACAGTATGCAAATTCCCAGCTAATTTCCTCGCCCGTCTACGCGATGCGCTCATGTCTTACAGTACGTGGCTTGTAATTATCAGGCAGGATATTTGATTTCCTTTACGCAAACAAAGGCACACTCGCATGCCGTTTTCAGTGACCATTTCTATGTGTTTGCGCACACAGATATGTACCTTAGAACACCGGAATTTCGAACCATGAGATCTAGAATGCAATTAAAAATAATATGTCGATTCAGCCAGTCGTTTATCTTGTGTGTATATCTGATCTCGTCGGTACACGTGTGCATAATATGCATACGTATCGCCGAACGCGAGCATCTGTTTCATCATATCACAGACTTCATCAATACGTCGCTAGTATTGATGTTTCGATCTAGTGCATTTCGCGACGCGTCGATTTTAATTCGTGTATCAGAACGGGATCATCCATCGCGTATGCATAAATAACGAATCGCGTGAGCGTTCCGCGCGATTTGTATAATATTTTTTTTTTTCAAATCTGATTCGCGCGCGGACGCGAAACGCACCGTCTGCTCCTGGCGAGAGCCGTGGAGAGAACTGCTGGTCTAGCTGCGTTATATTATATTGCGATATCATAGTGCACGCAGCCGGAGCAACAGGGGACGTGGGGAAGGGGACGCTTTGAACGTGTGTGGGACGACTATGTGCGTGTTCGCGTTCTTCGGATTTAATTTCACGCTTCCATCCTGGCCAAAAACACACGTGCGGACGTTTACGTGTGTACACAAGAGAACACGCCGTGCGTGTACGTGCGGCGAATTGCGCCAGAAAGCGAGAGACCGTCGGCCGGAGGGCGCTATAGGCGTTATTTCCGGTCGTTGTTTTTCGTGCTCGCCGCCGTCGGAATACGGCTGACGGAAAAAAAAGTAATACCTCTATGTGTGATAGATTATAATCCAAGGATCATAGCGCAACGTGACATATTGCAACCGGCAAAAATTTCAGTTGTCAGTCGTCCGGAAACAAAACTCGCGTAATTTCGCAACGTTGCGTTTGATGTGTATTGCTGATTTGTTTATTAACACTAAAACTCAATGGAATAACAAGACGGAGTATCCGGACTTAATGCGTTTGTGAATGATCATCGGACGTTGCTCATTCGCTTAAAATTCTTACCGAGATTGCTCGACCAAATAATGGAAGTTGCTTTATGTGCATTAGCACATGATGTTACACAATACACAAAGTCTCTCGTCGATTATAAAACACCTCATAAACTCAGAATCGCCTCACAGATAATAATATCGTATTGCCGGTGGCAGAGAAAATAAAGACCAACTTTGTGAATAGAAAAATCAATCTTTTGTTACTCGATTTTAATGTTATTGCAACACGTCATTAACTTTCGTGGAAACTTGTTATCCTTTAATCTTGTAATATTACATTTTTCATTTTAAAAACTTGGGGCCGAAAAAAATTTCGCTGGAAAAAGAATGTATTCTCGGAAAAGAACTATATATATTCGGGAAAAGAAATTATCTTTTTGTCTTATTTTTTTGCGAGGGAAGTGATAAATTCTAAGATCCTCGCGCGCGTGTCCTATCTTCGAAAAATATGTTTCGCCTGGGAGATTTCTATACTTACGAAACACTCCCTTGGGAGAAACCCGCAGATTTCGCAGCCCTTTGTTTCACGACGAAATAAAACGAAACGCACCAATCATGCCGTGAGAAACGGATGTGACATTTCGACATCAATACTACTTTTTTTCATCAAATATGTGATAAAATGCTTACAAACGAAATTGTCCCTTTTTGGATCCTCTCGTTCTTTTATTCTTATCTACCTGTCTACTACCTGTCTATCTATGTTTGATCATGATTTATCACTTTTCTTAAGATTTGTAAATGTCGGAATACCACAGGTCGATATCTCATTTTACATTGGTCAAAAATCGTTGGCCAACACCAAAGTTTTTCAGGGCATCTTTCGCCACAGGAGAGACTGCTTGCTCAGCTTGTAATCTTATCGAAACTTTCTGTTCCAAAAATATAGAACTAAAAGAAGAATATGCTGATATCAATTATACGGAATGCAATTTGCAAATTAAAATATCATGAATCTGCATTGGACTGTTTATAAATATTTTCACTTTGGAAAGGATACCTGTGATGAAATATTCCGAATAGCTCGAGCAGAATTGGATCCGCCCGGACGAGCCCGGCGGAGCGAAGGAAACGGTTCAGGATTCTTCGATGGGTACGAAGAAGAAAGATGGTCTCGCTCGAACGAATAATCAGAAGGCGCCTCTCGTAATCATTTCGTGCCAATCGAGTAGTTTCCTCGCGCAATCTCGGCCCTCGCGCACCTACGTGGCTGCTCCCTTTAAATCCGCGCACGTGATGCATTCGACTAACGACCCTCCCGGGGAGCTAAAACGTGTCTCTCGAATTAAGCACCCGGCAGCAGGTAGATCTGGAAGGAATCCCGAAGGAATTATTTCCGTGCAATAAACGAATCGACTTGGCGCACAGCGAAGCTCGCGAGAAAAGCTTGCTTCGGTGCGTAAGGCGGGAAAATATTATGAGGTTGAGTGTGCTAGAGGGAATTAAGGCGGAGACTTTAAATATACGGATGTTTTCATATATTTAAATAAGCGGAGTGCCAGCGATAAATTTTCCTTGCCGCTTTTATTTAGAGAGATAAATAACTTGGGGGTTGCTTAAAAACATAAAACTGCGTTTGTGATATTATCCATGTGAAAGATTTAGAAAGGTATCATTTTATGACTTTTCCAACATTTATATCTATAATGGAGCGATATGAAAATAAGAAAAAAATATTTCTCATAAATTTACGAGTGTTAGTATCTCCGCTACTTTTATCATACTATAGATGCTCGCGTATTAAAATTTATTAGCGTAATAGATAACACGTGACGTTGAAAAAACGATAGTTTATTCCGTTTTCTCTCTAAATGCGTAACAGTTGCCATTGTTAAATTTTCACGCGTTGTCCGCTGTGTGGAGCATTCGTTTCGCCGAGCGCCGCGTTTCATTCCGAGCGAACTATCCCATCATTACACGTCAACGAGTCAAAGAACGGAGGATCTCGATCGAGAGGACGGGGGAATAGAAAAGCGGGAAGGTATTGCCAAAGTTCGTCGACGGGAGCTTCCCCCGTCCACCCATTAGCGTGTCAGTCATTCCGGCCGTGTAATTAAATTCCGTGCGCCAATGTCGTCGCGCGTATCCCCGCCCTTCTTTTCGCGAACGAGTCTTTTTCGAAGCTGCCGCCGTATCTGCTCTCCCCTGATTCCTCGAAATCAGCCCCGATGCACACTGTGGACGGTATCAATATTTTCCCTGGGAAAAATGTCGGGTCAGCTCCCGGGAGAGGCGCGGGGAAGGGGAGGACCCGAGGTTGCGCGGAGGGTGATATTCTTTCGGAGAGCTTTCTTGACATCGATTCTATCCATTTCCACGTTTCCTCGCGTTTCTTGCTGCTCTACAGTCTCATTTTCAATTTATCCCCAGCTTCTTTTATCGCATTTTTCGTTTCTCCCTCCTCTTCCCCCCGTCCTGAATCGGAAGGTCCGCCGGCGAATGGACTCGTGCGAATACAACAGATAAAACGAAAGTTTGTATCGCCGCAGGGCCGCTCGCTTAGAGTGGGAGGTCTGGGGAGGGAGACTGATTAATGGACTTCTTGCTGAGGGTGGATGTATAATCGGTGAGAAAAAAATTAGTCCGGAGAAGGCCGGTGGCACGTAGAAAGCTGCACCGCTATGGCTGTAGTACGGTCGATTAATTGGAGTTGTTGGGTGCCGTAATCGTCCGGCCGTTGTTGTTTAATTGTCCCGAGATGACTCGCGCGCGCGTATCATCCCCTTTTTACGTTGTTATCCTGTGCAATTGATATTGTCAATATCGATTTGTTATTTCAGAATAATTGCAGCTGAAGAAGAGGCTTCGAGAAAAATGATATTTTTCGATCTATAAATTCGCCTGTATTGTTTTAAACATAAATTAATGGCCGAAGAGTCTTCATAAATACACGCAGTATTATTAACAATAATATCACTGCGCCAATATGCATTTTCCCCTGTTTTTTTTAATTTTCTGTTCATTTTGATTGTTGCAGGGCGATATCATGGGATTCGTGATATATCCAGACGATGCGCGAACAGGATCGCCGACGCAAAGAGATAAACTTCGAAAATTGTTTCGCGTAGGAAGCACCGCGCCTGTACATCGTTCCTAATTGACAGATAGAAGAGAGGGAGAAAGAGAGTCAGCGGCGGAGGTAACTAGAAGCGGGAATGAGAAGAGGGTAAGACGGAAGACACGAAGTAGCGTTCGAAATTTACGAGTGAGCCTGTTTGCTTGCACGGCGCGGGATCCGAGGTGGTGTCTAGGGGCGGTCGTGTGCCATAACAAATGGTCCAGCCGTGAACCGGCTCGCCGTACAACGACACCGGAAACAGGCGGCAGCTCTAGCGAGCGAGCGAGCGAACGAACAGGAAGATCCGCAAGAATTCGCAAGCATGCGGATGTGAAGCTTCAAGCACGGTCCGTCTGGCTGTCACCCTCCCGCGTGGCGAATTGTTCCGAGGTACGTAAGCTGAACGGAGTGGCTCGTTTTTAGCCATACATCGTCCGAAGACAAGATGTCTCCGAATTGTCGACGATGAGACGGCGCGCGCGTCGCGGCGATCGTCCCGTGAGAGAGCGCGTCGCGATTTTCTAATACGCAATTACTCGACTGAAGAATGACGTGGCGCCGCGCAATCACTCGACGCTGAGACTTCGGAACGAGTCAATCCACGGTAACCCAGATGGGTTAAAGACGGCCGCGACTGACGGCGCGATCTCGTGCTGCTGCCGAAATGGCGATCGTACCGCGAAAGTGCAACAAGTGGTGTCCAGAGCCTCGATGCTGAGACGTCATCGATGTTACTCGACAGACGGACGAGGGGATTTGATCCAGGACCGATCAGGTTCGCGAGCCGGCTGGATCGAAGCTCTCGAACGGGAGGACCGCCGTTGTTTACGACGTACGCGATGCCGGCGGGATTAAGCGCGTCTAATGAACTCTGAATCCGTTTCATCTCGTCTCGAGTACGATCGTCTCGAAATTTCTTCGTGGGGGTTTCCTCTACCGAGTTAAGTAGATTTACTTCCTTTTCGAGGGAAAACGTTCGGCCAACGAATCGAGAGTTGAGAGATTCCGGTCCAATGCTGTTCGTTAACGTCATCAAAGAGCACTTCACTGACCGAGAGATCGAAAGGTGGACGAATAGCAGCTTCGAGCTGAGATTTTAGCTTGATTTCTGGCCACTGGCTTCTCACTCGAGTACGTGGATCCGTCGGAAAGTTATAAAAATTTTTATATATATGGATCATCTGGAATGAAAGAACATAGTGTCAATATAAGTTAATATAATACGTGTTAATACGTGTTGAAGCACGTTTCTCAATACTGCATGGTGATTCAATCGGAAGAAAACTGCAAACGCAAGTCCATGGCGACGAAGGTATTTGATGCTGAACAAACGAAGCAGACATTCGTCGGCAGTTATCAACGATTCTTGGAGTTACTATCGGATCTTCTGTCGGCGGATCTGTTGAATAACAGCGCAATCGTTGCAACAGCGTTTGCGCGCCGCGGGCAACGTCGACCGACTCGCTCAAGGATAGAGACTTGGCGATAATCCACGACGAGGTGTTGTCGCATCCGCAAAGACGTCGTCGAATGAGACGATAGTAATGAGGATATCCGCGAACGAAGCTGGCGTTCCTCTACTAGGCGCCGTTGGTCCGCGCTACGTCGTCAAGCAGGCGACGGTGAAGCGCTGCGTTGTGGCGCTACTGTTCGTCTCTATGGCCAGCATATTCTATTACACTCACTATATCATCAGCAGTGGACCATTATCCAGGTAAGCGCAAACAACGCATGAGCAATTTTTATATTTTTTAAATGAAACACTCGCGATTAATGAAACATTTAATTTTTTAAATGTCTTAAATTTATGAATTTAAAAAATGGAGATTAATTCTATAATTATAAATCTGAAAAATTATTGTTTGCCTAAGAACATTTAAAATGTCCGCAAGCGTTGTAAACAGGATAACATCTAATTAACACATGAATTTTGCGACATTTACTGGAGACAAAACTTTCGCGAACGCTTTTTGTGTAAAATTTAATTCTCGTGGAAAAATATTTGTACAGTTTTTTCGGATTGTTGACTGTGAAAATTTCAATGTCTTGATCGGAATGCTCGTAATGACGTAACTAAAAAAACTTCGCTCATTGCCACATAGTAACAGTGGAATTGCATTAGCAGAACCTTGAAATGCATGTAGTTTGATAATACTACTGCGATAATAGTACTGAGATAACACCATGCAAATGCAACAATTGTTGTTCGGAAAATACATTAGCAAGTTCAATGCCGCGAGAGAGAGGTGATTAGTATTGAAGGGCGCAAGGTAAGTCGTCTGGCGAAAAGCGAAGTAGGATGGGGACACTTTTAATTACTTTGTATGTAGTCAAGTGTGGTAAAGCTGGCTAATTAGAGCTACGAGTTGGCTGGCCAGTCGCGCCGACCAGTTTGTAACTCTGAAATAGCGTGGTCGCGTGCTACGTCGCTACTAATAGTAGGGCATCTTCCGCAAGAAATCTCGCGCGTCGCAGACAATTTCTCTTGATATCTTTTTTTTGCGGGCCAATAATATGGAAAAACTAAGCGCGGAATGGATGCAAACAAATGCGAATGACAATTAACTGCGAACTTTAGAGATAAATTATCTTCTGTTTGGACTCTTATTTTCTACATTTAAGTGGCAAATTTTTCTTTTAACATATTAGGAATTCTAAAATCTTTTGCTCATAAATCTATTGAATATATAGAAATCCCGAAAACGATATGCAAATTTCATAGGGATTCCTGACATAAGATAATGGATAAAAGAAAAAACAGAGATAGTTCATCACAATTTCGCGTGAAGATAATAACTAGAAATTACAATGCCAGCGAGAATTCTGTGAAAAATAATTTTTGTTAATGTAGGAATGCTGGTAGTATCAAAACGCATTAATCTAGCTTAGCAGCACCGTATTCCATGTTCTGAAGTAATAAAATATTTTTGTCACGCAGCTAACACACCATCCATTAAACACGTAGCTGTTATCAAGAAAATCACATACAGGAAAATTATACTAATTATTTTTGATAATCGAAGAATAAGACACGAAGTTATCAACGACTATACTACCATCGCAAAATATTTCAAATTCGATGCATATCAAATGAATCGATGCTATAATTAAAATGTCGAATTCATTATTTTATTTATGATAATTATATCTTTGTTAAAGAATGACGTTAAAAACTCTTAATCATTTTTTAAAACAAATTTGCAAACAAATCGCAAAATGGTCTTTGATCGCTTCATGTTCGGCAAACGAAGGCGGCAGTTCAGCACGCAGGCGGAGATATTTGAGAATTTTAGCAGACGGATCCCTCCTTCCGCCGTAAACTAACCGAGTATCCGAGAACTCTTATGCAGAAAGCTTGAATAACCCGCGCAAGGACGAAATAGTTTGTGGACTTAGCAAATTGGCAGGTACCTTCGGTCTTAGAGACGATCCAATTTAAATCAAATCGGAGCGCACAAGTATATGTATGTAAACACGAGTGGTACATATGTATGACGAGTGTGTTATATATTCCTGTAATATAACTGGCCCAATTCCAGTTTTCTTCGGCATCCTGCGGTCCTGTATAGCGATGCCCGTCGGGCAGGGAAGTAAATTCACAGTTAATTAGCGAAGACGAATAACCCCACAAATCGAGACGCTCGTTCCATTTCTACAGCGCATTCAATCTGTCTCCACGATAGCGGAGGCGACATGCAAGTGTTGCACCTGCGGTGTTTGTCGGCGTATACTGCAGTAATGATTACAGCTGTGCTTTCGAAATATGTATGTAGTAACATATATATATAACCAAAATTGAGCGTATCGCGTGAGCGACAGTGGAGGTGATATTTTCTAAGGTGCGGAAATTATATGGCCGATGCTTTAGCAATTACGTACACGCGAAGTTTCGTATTTTTCTCGCGCGTGCGGGAATCGAAGTAATTAAAGTATAATTTCCCGCGTGCTACGCGACGCGAGTCTCGTTGTCGAGTGAGAGCTTAACAAGTTTTCTTCGGCGAGTAATCGGACAAGCTTGTTTCCTGAAAACCGATATCCTTCGCGCATCGCTTACGTCACGGGAAAGTTCGGGATATATTTTTCACGGCGTGACAGTGTTGCCGAGTTGCAAACAGCTTCAAGAATGTAAACCGCACGTTTACACGAACGCGAAGCTCTCTCGCGAGCCGTGCGGGGATCATAATTTAACTTCGCTGCAATACTAACGGACATATCTGTTACCATAAAATATTCGTTATAATCCTGCAGCGCGCTTCATATTGGAGAAACTGGAAGGGGTGAGATATATGACTTGTTACTACGATACGCTACTATATCCCGGAGACCAAGAGACCACCGCATAAATCCTCATGCGCGCGCTATCGAGTTAAATGATAATACCATGATCTTACGCGAATCAATCTTAGTAGGTAACCCGCGGCACATTGTAGAACTCCGTAACCGATCGCAGCGCGCGAATGTCCGTCTCTATCGTCAATCATGGAAGCTAATATACACAACGCGGACATTGACATGTAATTTCACATTTGCGCTGGCAGTTTCATAACCGTCTATATAATCGTGACTGGACAATCCTGACGAACGTACGACGATATCTCCGAAACTGTATCCCGAGACATTGCATCTAGGTATTTATAATTGCACTGTCAATCCAGATAGGACAAGATGTAGCACTACATGCGATTTATTGAAATCCAATAATAGATATGACAGCACTCGTGTTAATCGTCAAGTGCGACATATTTCATTTATCTACGTTAGATCGTGCAAATTGTTATAGATTGTTTTAGCAACGGCAGAATCTTGATGCATAAAGTTTTTTTGAAACGAAACGTAATTGCAGATAAAATGAGAATGAACCTTTTTTGTCAAATAAAAATTTTCTTTTCACTTTTATATAAAAGAGATTATATCAATTTTTTGTTGAAAGACTGCTGTATTCATACTGCGCTTTGTAAAAGTACTAAGCATTATTTTTATGAGAATAGTATCGCGGTAATAATTCACATTTCTTGATTGGTATTTTACATTAGCACATGTTGCATGAATTCATAATGAATATTTTAGCGGTATTCTCAAAGAGTTGTCGCTCAACAGCATTGCTACCATAGTAAAATACATCATCATGATGGCAGTAACAAATTAATGGAATCCACGGCGACGCACAACATGGCAATTTTAGATCGCTCGTAGGATTCTGCCTCGCCGCGTCGCGATAGTGTCAGCTGTCGCGGCGTCTGCAGTTATGCATCGCTGTTTTTGTGCGCGGGCGCGTTATCGCGCGATAAATCGTTGTTTTACATTTTGGACAGTGACGCGTAAAAGCTATTTAAAGTAGGATGCTGAGACACAAAGGCAGCAGCGGGAAATTTATCGTTAACGGTATCGCGACTTTTTTTGTCCAGTGTTGCAACGCACGAGTCTTTCTCCGTGAAATAATATCTCACGGACTTCCGTTGGTTACACTGTTAAGAAATCTGTTTATCTCCGGAATAATTCTTTCACCATTAATCTAAGAACACGCGATTATGCTGTCATCGTGATATCTCGCACAGCATGTCGACGAGTGGATGAGGAAAATTACTAGCTAAAGACACCGTCGCGAAAAAATCGTCTCCTGTTAAACGCGAACGCGTATGCACGCGCGGAGTAAAAGGCGGAAGCGCGCGCATTCACGATAGGAGATATGAAACGCGACTTTATCTTTCTCTCTCTCTCTCTTTCTCTCTTCGTTGGTAAGACGAGAACCAATCGGCCGGTCTATTCCGCGACGCAAACGTGCCGTGCACTGAAGAAAGAGAGGCGCATTCTCTGTCGTGGGACATGAAATGCGGCCGGATGTTTGTCGCACGCCCAATCAGCGTCAATTCAAGCTTCTCTTTCGACCGGCCTTACGTCGGCGCTAAGCTTCCCACATGCTGCACGTATGCAGCTCCTTCCTACTGCTAGCCACGCGTCTTTTGCATGATACGTCTTGCTCTTGAACCCCGAACCACGCCCGTAAAAATAATCGAACGCGATAAAGTAGATTTTTTTCCTTTGAAAATTGCATATTATGCATTGATTATCTTCTTGGGAAAGTATAAACATATTTTCTCTTGCAGCATCTCATCAAACTGACGTAATTAATCGTCTCTAATTTAAAGAGACAGTTTTATTTATTCTAACTTGTTAGTCATATAAAATCGTATCTCGTTATTAATATTTATTCCTTACACTTTTATTTATTGCCGGAATAAATCTTGTAGACTTTAGTATAATTTGTTCCTTTTTGAAAGTTAATCACTTGCAATTAGCGTTAAATACTTAACAAAGATCGTTTATTAATAGGATATTGATATCTTTTATTTGCCTCTTAAGATTTATGTACGTATCCATATCTTGTTCTTATAACGAATCTTTTGATGATATCCGCGTAAACGTTGATTTAATTTCTGAACTTGCGACGTTGCAAATTAAAACCAGACTTATAGCCTGGCTTACAATCTGAAATTAACTAATTAAATTGCGAACGCCGCGAGAGCTTTGCCGACGCGACGACCGGTATCGCGAGTATCAAGGATAGAGTTTGTTCAACGTAGCGATGCATTATTCATCGCGTTTATACGCCCACGGAGTTTCGATTATTTTTAACAATTATCTTCTCGAAGTAGTAGCAGTCGAATTATAGAAACTTCTTCGCGAGTACCTTGCGAAATTTATTCAGATATTAAC